AACAATGTTGCAAATAGCTCCTCTCAAAACTTCGACAATGTTGCAAATCGCTCCTCTTAAAATTTGTCCTTGAAAATTTTCCTTTGAAAATTAATCACTGTTAGTCCTTTCATCGCGTCGAATGATAATTTTAAGGATCGTAAACAAAGTGATAATTTCCACGGTGTTCCGCAACCCGTCTGATTTACGGTATCCGACAACTATGTACAACGCGATTATTTATTATTCGGCGTTACAGCGATGTAAGTCTACCCGATGTCGGTTTTCCTCGCTATTGTTGGCAAGTGTAAGGCCGGGAATTGCGATGTTACGCGTACCGCCGTAAATATGTCGGTCAATTGGCAACAAGAACAGAATCGTTCGCCCAGGAATGTTATTTCGTCTCGGTGGCTTAACGTAATGATATTACTAGAACGTGCTGTTTACTCGGCACAATTTTGTACGAATAAGAGAATGGAAACATTGGGATAAGAATTTGTTCGTACAGGGAAGCTTTTGTTCGTTCAACAACGTGAAGCTTGATTAAACTGTACGGATCAGATTACAAGCTTTATTAGACAAATAGTTCGCGTGAAAAGTTGTGTATATAAACAACGTAACAAAATTTCTATATAAACGCAAGGTATACAAATTTGTATACAAACGAAAATTGTATAAAAACAAATAAACATAAGCTTTGTTGATCTTCGAACAGTACAGAAAAAATGATACATGTTCGACATTCGTTGTACAAACAGGCTTATTGCATAATCGATATCGGAATAGTTGCATTCTCGAATCTGCTCGGAACGATTTCGGTAAATGGTAAGCGAGCCAAAGCGGAAGCTAAACAATGCGCGGAAATATTTCTGCGAGAAGACGTATCGCGACAACGTTTCGGTGGTTTGAAAAGCACGCGTAAACAGGCTCCTCCGCTGTAGCGTGTCTATTATACGAGTTTCCGTCGTTTTACTTATCTTTCAGCGTGGTGAAACGAGAGAAAGCTGTTGATAGCAACTAGGAACGAATGTTTAATTTTATTCCAAATAATTAATATAATATCACCGATATAAATCAAAAATAATATCTCTTTCGATAACACCACTTTCGAGGACCTCCAACATTTTTGAGACACCCTGTATATTTACTGCAGCTTTCACCATTTCAAAATTGATTTTTCTGAAGCCTGGATTACCAGAATGATCCTTTAAAAAGAGACGCATGTACATTGAAAAGCAACTGGTCTATTGGATGCAGATTTTAATTTAGTAAAAATTATCTGTTGTTAATATTAATTACATCGATATCATTTTTATTTGACGATTGCCCTTCACAGAGATGGAAAAGCCCATGAAGTTTATATTATATTATATTTGGATTATATAATATAATAAATTATTATTATTAATAATGTTTGCAGAGTAAAATAAATTGTACCGTTACGAACATTTGAGTATTTGCATTATATAATATAATAATATTTGAAGAGTAAAATAAATTGTACCGTTACGAACATTTGAGTATTTGCATTATATAATCTAATAATATTTGCAGAGTAAAATAAATGGTACCGTTACGAAGATTTGATTTCGCATAAATATCCGCAGTCTGATAATAACATGTAACACGTTGCTATAAAAACTAAACACTTTTTCTTGTTTTGTTAACAGTGATGGGGAATGGAGCACGGAAGCCTGCGACAGATTCTCAGAACTGACTTCGTTGGCTCAGTGGAAACCTCTTATTGGTAAAGTTAGAGGGTACAAAGAACGGGCTGTTGGCTGTGGGAAATCTCAACGCGAGGGCACGCCGATTCCTTGCATCGATATTTACGACAGAAACGATAATAAGGTATGCACGACATTTGTTAAGATACACCTTATCCTATTTGTTTGGATACAATTCAAATTTAAATGCAATTTCCTCTTCTGTGCACAGTACTGTACTAGCTGTTCAAAAACAAGCATTCAATATTTATATGGTGTATAGAGCACACTGTACCGAATAAAAAAGCTTTAGTAAACATGGATACAAAGGTCAACCGTTTCTGAGATATAAACATTTTTGTTTGCTAGTATCATGAGAGAGCACTTAAACACTGTGTTCGGTCAAAATGTGGATTGGACGCGGTGGACCAGTTGCATGGCCTCCTCGATATCCCTATTTAAATCCTCTGAACTTCTTTTTATGGGGATATTTAAAAAGCCAAGTGTATTCCACGCCGATAAATGACTTAGATTCTAAGTCTTAGAAGAACTACGTAAGACTCTGTAAGAAGAAGATGCCAAGCGTCTACAGAAATGAGCGATGGACACGTGGAGAATATTCTATAAATATCGAAAACACGGTATATAAGTCAATCATGATACTAGCAAACAAAAATGTTTGTATCTCAGAAACGGTTACACCATACACCACTATACACCATATAAATATTGAATGCTTTTTTCTTGAACACCCTGTATATTTTTATTCATAACAAGATGGTACTTATTTAAAAAAGAAAAAAATTGACTTGCCTATCATAGGACCTGAATTGCCTTTGTAAAAACATTTTTAAAAGAAACTCCCTCTGTATTCATTCCGAATTCTTTTTCAGGATATCAATATCCGCAAGGAGTTAATATTGGAGGGCCACGGAGAGCCAGAAGAAGCGTCTTCGTCGGCTGCTTCCTCCACGTTGTCACTGTCCATGCGCAGCCACGAAGCAACGAGTACTTCAAGAGCTGCATCCGTCTCTCCGCTGGCTAAACGAGTTGTAAGCGTGGAATCGTCGATGCAGAATCAAAGCTGGAACGATTACGAGTCCAGCCCGTGGGACTTCACCGCCGAATCACCTCAAGAAACGACGAACACATCTATCACGGACTTCGACACTCATGCCGAAGTAGAAGTGGTAGATTTGAGAACACCGCGAGTGAGTACACCGAGTACGCTCCTATAATTCAAAGGTGGAAGTCATATTAGGAAGCCAAATAGTAAATGCTTTTCATGATTTTTTTGTTGCAGAGAGAAATTTTCTTGATACCTTTTAACTTTGAGAATAGCTTTGGCACGATTTAAAGTACATTTGGTAATTTTTTCAGTTAATTTCACTTAACTGAATTCATGCTAGCCTAATCGTCCTGTCCTCGTCTCTCCTGCAATCGCCAGATACGTAGCGACCGTGTTATCAGTTTCGGTTATCGTTTTCTTCCAGAAACCCGATGATCGGATCGTGGAAATCGATCTGACGACACCGGCGAAGGTCGAGACGAGTCGTTTCATCGACACCGAGAAGAGAGCGCATCGCGATGGCGACTCCCTGAAGAACGGAAGCAGCAGCAGCAGCAGCAGCAATAACCAGCGCAACGGATTCCGTGATCCCGGCCTGAAAGTAAACAAGTCCTCGCTAATCGCGCCCGCTGGATACGAGAGCGATATCTCCGCCGATTCCGACGACTTCGAGCTGGGGTAAAGCCACCACCTTCAACCATTCTTATTCTTATTTTTGTATTTCCCGTTCACATCCGTACCGCTGCACCGCCGTTCGAAAGCATTCGCGTCCGCAACTAGAAGAAACTTGAGTACAGCGCAATATTTATGTATTGCCCAATATTTATATTTAAAAATGAAATTTTGTCCTCTTTTGTAACGTCTTGGGTTTTCCAAACAAATCTTATTAGTTGTTCTAACATGAGACTTCATTCAAACAAATAGAACACCTCGAAACATTAAGTAACCAGCATTTGTAATATTAACAGAATTCACAAGTGATTTTGTTCGAAAGCCATATTTTCAATTCCATGTATCATAGTTCTTTTCGTATATGTAGTATGTAAAAGTGATAGTCGTCTTCCTATGACGAAGGAAATACAATAGCAACTCGAAAGTTGCTAGTCAAAATAATTAGAGCCTGTTTTGTGTGATGAATCGTAATACTAAAAATTAAGAAAAAATAAAAAGAACCTGTGTATTAAACGTCGTAGAATTTGTATCGAATGTTTAGTTTAAAAGTGTTGGTCTGATTCGAATAGATTCTCTAATTATTTCGAGCAACGTGTCAAAATAAATGGTGTACGCTATTGTCCTATTAAGGGAATGGTATTCCCGTAATGGTAAAAATCATTCGTTTGTATGCTCGATTTTACGTTAGTGGTAATCTCATCCGCTTTAGAGAACAGTATACAGAACCTGTATAGTAGAACCTCGATTATCTGAACTAGCAGAAAGAAAACAGAGATAACTTATGATATATATGAGCATCGTCAGCATAACATTGAGAATTTTATAATCACAGATGAAATAGCAAAAGTACCAGTAACACTATAAGCAAATAAATAACGTGAACAACGACTTTCTTACAAAATTATTTATTCCCTATCATTTTTTGCTGCTAGATTCCACCAATCTTCTTGAACATATTTAAGTTTATAACGATTATATTTCCTTACATGCTTGGAATTCGTTAACATTTTTAATAAAGATTTTTAATAGAGCAATCCTCCAGAGATTCAAACATGTATCAATTGAAACATGTTTTCGTAATGCAAACATGTTCAACTATTTTTCTGTCTAAAAGACAAAATGTAAAATGATAGGAATACTATAACATAGCGTAATGGAAGCATCATAATCTAACGTGCCATAATAGAAATATTTATTTTCAATTCCTGTAGACGTCGTCTTCCTAATATGTTGTCATTATATTGTTTTACTATTGTTATTAATTATATTAAATCTCTATAGTCTTCTTCGTGACACTTTACCTATTAATAGATTTTCTCGCTAAAAGATACTTTGATAACATTTTGCGTTCCCATCATCACATGAATTATTAAATATGCTACATAAATATTACTAAAGACACGGTTCTAATAGATCAAACAAATATTGAATAACACTGATATTATCAAAATAAAAAAATATTGTTGAATTTAAATTAATCCATTAATGTTAAAAGAGGATTGCTTTAGTAAAAAAATAACAACTCCACAAAAGAATGATAATAGCAGGTTGTTCGGATAATGGAGGTACTACTGTGTTGAACCGTATCGGAATAGATTAAGAACAAATATGGCTCGAATTACGTCAAACCTCGAAACTCGTGTATCCTTCCATGTAGTCGCGTAACGCTACTCTAGAGTCATGCATTATTTCCATCAGAACACTTAGGCTCGCTAATGCTCAACATTAAAAGGAACGTGCCTTAAATCGCTTTACACCTAATCACTACCATTTAAGCAGTGTTTGAGAAAGGAACGCAAGTATTAAGGTGTATGTAGTAACGAATAATGTAGATGTATATTTTTGTAAAAAAAAAAAAGAAAAAAAGCGAAGCTCGTTTGTAATTGCTCAACGAAGAGAAACGTTTATGTTACCCGATAGAGAGAGAAAGAGAAAAAGAGAGAGAGAAGAAAATAAGAGTTTATTTTATAACAGATCATAGAGATTTATCGTTGCTTATTTATTTTTTATATTTTTATCTTCGGGTTGCTTAATTGCGATGGCGATTACTTTGTTTTTATTTTATATAGGCGTGTACAGTTGTGAAACTATACAATTATCCAAACCATGCATCGTAACAAATTGTGCAATTATGAAGTATACAATGATTTTTTCTAATTTACATTACGATTTTATTGCATATTTATTTGATATTATTGCAGACGTTTAAACGGAGATGGGTAAATTTTTACTTGAAAATAAAAATTTCACGTGAGAAATAGGGGTTGAAGATATTGTATTTTTATATTTTTTATTTAATTTTTCTATTATTTATTACTTTTTCCATTTTCTTATTTTTCTAAAATTATTTTTGGTTATCACAGTTGATATCGAGGGTATATTGCCCGTAAATCGTGTATTATTATTATCTCTTGATTGATAATTCGAAATTCTTATTTCGATAAGAACTTTAACCATCTCTGCTTTCAAAACCTATTTATGAAGCAATTACGACTCGCGTGAAAACCCCAAGCCTGAAAGGGTCGAGTCCAATCGATAAACGAAGAATTGTACAAAAATAAAAATAAGATTTCTGCGAATAAATTGATCGCTCTCTCGAATACTCTGCTCTCGCTAACGTTAATCATCGGACAAATACCAATACCAAATGACAAAGTATCGTTTTTAATTTTCAGACAAAAATTTATCAAAAAACGCATTTGTCAGACAAAATTCAGAAATTTCATGTTCAAGATTTAAGTATGTATTTTAATCCAATACAAAGTGGAATTCTACAATACGGTATCAAACTTAATATATACATTTTATTGTCAAGATTTAAAATTTCCAGCAAAAATCGTCCTGTAGTTAAAGGATTAATTGAAATACATGGTGACTCAAAAATGTTGGAGGTCCTTGGAGGAGCGGATTCGAGGGGTGATTTGAAACAACTTTTTCCTTAGCGAAAATGTTGTCCGAGGTTTCGTTAAGGAGATATTAAGAGAAAACCTCGACCAATCAGAGCGCGAGTATACCGGTGGAGCGGTAGCGGTAGCGTAGCCTACGCGTTAGGCGCCCGACCAATCAGAAGCGCGGCCACCTAGCGCGTAGCGTACGCTACTGCGGGCGCTCCACCGGAATACTCGCGCTCTGATTGGTCGGCCGCCTAGCGCGTAGCCTTCGCTCCCGCGTAAACGCGCGCTCTGATTGGTCGCCGTTTTCTATTAATATCTCCTTAACGAAGTCTCGGACAACATCTTCGCTAAGGAAAAAGTTACTTCAAATCACCCCCC